AGTCTGGCCTTGTTTAGATTGTTGGTATTGAGTTCTTCCACCATTTTTTCCCCACAGATGTAATCAGTTTGATTCCTGTGTATCTTATCTGGTGAGTTCCATGTGTATAGTGGCCTCTTATGTTTTATAATAAAGGTATTTGTAACGAGTAAGTCATTAGTCTCTTAAATTTCTATCATGTAATCACCAGCATCATTTGTATCATCAAGGTATTATGTTCTAATAATACCTTTCTCTTGTTTCCCATTTTTGCCTTCCAATCAGCAGTAATCATAAATACGTCTTAATTATATGCTTGATCAGTTTCAAACTGAAGAAGCTGGTAGAATTCTTCAATTTAATTATACTAACTTTAGTGGTTGTCATGTAAATTTGAATAATATTATTGTGTTGTTGTTGTTATGTGCCATGGAGTCGGTTCTGACTCATAGTGACCCTGTACAGGGTTTCCGAGGCTGTAAATCATTACTGGAGTAGAAAGCCTTATCTTTCTCCCATGGAACAGCTGGTAGTTTCGAACTGCTGACCTTATGGTTTGCAGCCCGATTCATAACCACTACGCTTTAGCAGTATCATATTGTCTTCTTGTAGGTATATAAATTTTATCCTATCACAGATAGCATTATACTTCAACATGGATTTTGAAATGTTCTTTTTGATAACGAATGTGACACCATTTCTCTTGAATTTGTTGATTGTAGCATAATGAATCACTGACTGTCAGACTTGAAATGGCCAGTACCAGTCCATTTCAGTTCATTCACCAATTGCTGAGATATCAATCTTTATGCACTCTGTTTCATTAATGACAACTAATTTTCCTAGATTCACGGTTCACACATTTCATGTTCTGATTATCAATGTATGTTTGTAGTGATTTCACCTCATTCTGAGTGGTCCCCTATCAGCAAAAGAAGGTTCTGAAAGCTATACTCCACTTGCCTCATCATGGTCAACTCTATTGTGAGGAAGCAACTATTTTCCAATGATACTTTTGAGTGTTTTCCAACCTGAGGGTCTCATCTTCTGGCACAGTATCTGATAATGATCTGCTTCTATTCATGATGTCTTCATTTTCTGAAACTATATCTGACAATGTTCTACTGCTAGTCACAAGATCTTCAGTGGCTAGCCATCCTCTGCTATCAAGATTTTGGCATCCTGGTGTGGCGCTGTAGGACAAGCACTTGACAGCTAATCATGAGGTTGTAGTTCAAATTCACCAGCTGCTCCTTGGAAACCTATAAAGAGTCACTATGAGTCAGATCCAACTCGATGGCATTTAACAGCAGCAACAACAAACAGTCAGTAATATGTCTCTCTTGTTTCCTAGTCAGTATTAGTTTGGAAGCTGCCCGGAAACTGTCTACGATGGATGACAGCATTGGTATTTAAAATACTGGTGTCATAACTTCCAGCATCACAGCAACATGCAAGCTACCACAGTATGACAAACTGACAGATGAGTGGTGGAATAAAAAAGAAAATTTTGTTGCTAAATGCTGTGGAGTCGCTTCCAATTCACAGTGACCCTGTATAGGGTTCCCACGGTACAGCTGGTAAACTTGAACCTCAGAACTTGCAGTTCAAACTGTAAGCAGCATACCAGGACTCCTATGTGACAGTGTTCCACCACTGTTCATAAAGTTTTCAGCGACTAATAAAAGTAATAGACATGCTTAAAATCAAGAAGTAATGGTAACAAAAGAGAGAAAGAGAAAATTGAAACATGCATAACTGATTCCTATAAATTAATAATTATTAATAGAACTTAAACTTACTATAATTTAAATGACATTTGGAGTTTTTATCCAGTGCTAATGCTGTGTTCTTCTAAGCATTAGCACTGCATAAAAACTCATTAATGATCCGCCATATGCAGATGACACAACATTTCTTGCTGAAAGTGAGGAGAACTTGTGATAATTACTAATGAAGATCAAAGATTTACAGCCTTCAGTATGGATTACATCTCAATGAAAAGAAAACAAAAATCCTCACAATTGGACCAGTGTAAGACATGTTAAACAAAGAAAAGAGTGTCATTATCAAAGATTTATTTTACTTAGATCCACACTCAATGCTTATGGAAACCACCGTCACGAAATAAAATTACATATTGCATTGGACATATTTACTACAAAGTCATCTGTAAACTGTTAAAGATCAAAGATAATACTTTGAGTAATACCATATGCCTGATCCAAGTCAGGACATTTTCAATAACCTCAAATGCATATGAGAGCTGAGCAATCAATAAGGAAGACCAGAGAAAATATTATGAATTTGAATTATGCTGTTGGCAATAAAATTGAATACAATGTACTGACAGAGGTTGCACAAGACTGGTTTGGAAAAGGTATGACTGGATTGATCTTTAGAAGCAAAAATGTTAAGATATAATCGTCTATACTTGGACATGTTATCAGGACAGGCCAGTTTTTGGTGAAGGACTTTGCTCTTGGTAAAGTAGATGTTCAGCCAAAAAATAGGGATAGCCTCAAAGAGATAGAATGACATTGTAGTTACAACAATGGAGTTGAGTGTAGTAAAGATTGTGAGCATCCTCACAGGACTGGACGGTGCTTTTTTCTGTTGTAATTAGGGTTGTTATGAATTGGATCTGACTTGAATGCATACAACAATAACAACAACAAAAAAAAATAAAGAAAGAAAATATATAATGTGCATTTCTATTCCATTTACCTAGATATTTGGCACAGAGTACATGCATAATCATTAATCTTCAATGAATGATCTTCATACATTTTTTATATAGAGGATCAAAGATTGATCCTCTAGTACCTGAAGGAGAGATATTCTTCAGCTTTCAACTTGCTTTCGGGTATAAGTTTAGTCTTTCAACCATTATGCCCTCTAAAGAGGACCTTTCATAGGCTAAATCCTGATATTGTGTACATGAGCAATGGCAGAAGATTTCAAATTTATCATGAATCGTAAACTCTCTGCATTCATAGCATAATTATAAGAAAATGTTGATACAAAGCAGGAGGCAGGGAATGCTGTTGTCAATCAGAAATTATCCACTAAAAATGATTTTTCAAACATTTAATCTGATAAAAATATACTCAAGATTATTGAAAGCCAGATTGAGTCTCCAAGGAAATGCCTTTGGGAGTGCACAGGAGTCCCATGATTACACATGGATGACTCACCATTCCTACTAAATAGCCAAGTTAATTTATCCACTCATTGATTATGAGACTTAGGGTACAATGAAGCATATTACATGAGAATTTTGGAATCACTTACCTGAAGAAACAAATCATGTTCTTTTTGACTGAAGAATCGCAACATATCCCAGGGCATCTAGAATATGTAATGAGGACATGACATGAATGTTATTTCTAAGCCTTTTCACATATAAGGTAAGCCAATAATATGACAAAATAGGAAAGCTAAAAGAGTTTATATTTTCTTATATGCTTGCAAGTCAGGTTTAATAACAATAATGGGGTGAGCAGCAATTAGTTTACCTTTATCATCCAATATTCTCACATATTTCTGCTTGGTCTTTTGTAACAACAATTTGATTAATTTCCCACTTAAGATTCTACACTACATGCTTCTCTATCATGTTTAATGGAGTAAGGTCTAACCTTAGCATATCATTTTAGACTCAGAACCCTTTTCTATTCATAGCCATCACTTTCCTTCTTTATGGATCATATGAACCGAAACTGAAAAGCATCCTGCTGTGTTGGGAAATACATTGCTTTCAAGTCAGATAATCTTGTACCTAGTATTTGCTCAGATGTCAGATCTCATACCTATTTCTCCTGAGAACACTTGGACTTTCCTTTCTTATTTTTCACTGTGATGCTGACCAACCTGAAATAGATGCTACATCTGAACCAAGGTATAATAACTTTGCTGTTTAGATATGAGGCAATTCACTTTTAAATTACTAGGCAACATGATGTGTTGTAAAATAGAGTTGATTTTTTTTTTTCATATAAGACTAATTGGCAAGCAAATAAAAGCTCAGTTTGAAACTTCTGAGAACCTTACCTTTTTTCAAATATTACAAAGTAGCCCAATAATATAAAGAATGATATGGAAGTTTTCTGGTAACCATAGATGAGACCTGGGTGGTGTTAGTACCTATTTCATGTCAGCATTATGTTCTACTATGACATCCCAATAAGTCTCCCAGGTCAAACAATAACCTTAAGCTGCTATTCTGGTCAGCCTATAATAGGTCATAGAAAGAGAATTTTTTTAAAGAGAACAGTGTAGATCCACCTTTTATAATATTAGACTTATTTAATTATCAACCCGAGAGTAGAGAAGAGAAATCAAGTAATCATCCTTTTCTTGATGCTCTTCTGCACAGAAGGGGAATATATTTTTATTGGAATGGAGAGTGAGAGAATAATTATACTTTATATAAAAACCACTTTGCTTTTTAAATGAACATTAACTGTGAGGTTAATGCAAGCATCACTTCAGATATTTGGGGAGATAATGTGTAAGAATCAACCCATCAATTTCAGAGGTAATCAGAGTGACAAACAAGCCTAATTTTTTCTAAATTGTAGAACATAGATCTGACTAAGAAGTTTAGCAAACTTTTGCACATTTTCATATTCATATAATATGTTGGCTGTTTATATAGTGCAATTGAAAAGACACACATTGAAATTCAAAGTCATCCAATATATTCTCAGATATCTGACTGCCAAATGTTCCAGATATTTGGATATTTTGAATTTTGTACCTATGTTCAAGAATGTAAAAAGTAACCCTTTAGGAAGATCAACCTGTAATGCTTATCTTATTAGATTTCATTATGATATTTAATGATTAAAGTCAATTAAAGTCTGTTTCTCTCCCACATCTAACTAAGATTTGGGATGAGTAGTCACAGTTGATTTTAACCCAGAGTTTATGGATGGAAATACTTTTTTACTACTAATATTTCTTCCTGTGGCATATTGATGTGTTTCTCCTCTTTGTCTGTCTAGATGTATACAAACATGAAGAGAGAAAATGAGACCTCCATGGTAGGTTTTATCCTCCTTGGACTTTTCCCAGGAACGAGGTACATTGGCTTACTCATCTGCACCATTCTCCTTTTCTGCTTTGTTGCCATCACAGGAAATGCAACCTTGGTCCTCCTTATTTGTCTGGATCCCCAACTCCACAGTCCCATGTACTTCCTACTCAGCCAACTCTCCCTAATGGACATCTCCCTCATCTCCACCACTGTCCCCAAAATGCTAACCAACTTTTTCTCAGGAACATCAGATATTTCATACATTGCCTGTAGAACTCAGGTCTATTTCTATGCAGCTTTAGGAGGCAGTGAATGCATTCTACTAACCTTTATGGCCTATGACCGATATGTGGCTATTTGCAACCCTTTGAGGTATGTGGCCATTATGAATTCTGAGGTTTGCCTACAGATGGCCATTGTGTCCTGGGCAGGAGGGGCATTTAATTCCCTAGTCCATACCACATATGCCATGCATTATCCCCGATGTGGTTCAAGAGTAGTCCAACATTTCTTTTGTGAACTACAGGCAGTACTCAAGCTATCATGTGAGGACACTTCAGCTTATGAGAAAATAGTTTTAGTAATGGGAATTTTACTTCTTCTTATACCCTTTGTCCTCATCCTCACCTCCTATGCTCTTATCTTTCTTAATGTTCTCCACATTAATTCTTCCAAGGGGAGAAATAAAGCTTTCACTACCTGCTCTTCCCATCTTATGGTGGTGTTTCTCTACTTTGGTCCAACTATGTTCATCTACATGATTCCCAGGTCTTTACAAACCTCAGAGCAGGACCAGGGTCTCTCTGTATTCTATACCATTCTTACTCCCATGTTGAACCCTCTCATATACAGCCTACGGAACAAAGATGTAGGAGAAGCTCTGAGGAAAGTTTTGTGCAAAGGCCTTATTATTAGATAGAACAATGTACATCTTATATATCAGTATACATTGTTAGGTTATAAATTTTCAATAGCAGCAGAGTAATATATTTAAACTATCTCAATAATCATAATTACCTTAATGTTTGAATTTAGGGCTTGGTTCATACCTAGCAAATATATTCAATTGCTAAATGTTTATCCCCTTTGTGAAAATAAAGACTTGTTAAATTATTATTTTAAAAAGAAAATATGCAAATGATCAAAATTACAAATTAATCTTGATTGCAATATTTTTAGATTGACAGGCAGCTGGGTTAGGCAAAACTATAACCTTCATTAATATTTTCCTATATGTTATATGCATGTTGTATATTCTCTGATTCTATTTCTAGTAGATCTTTGTGTAACCCAGTTAATGTATCAACAGTAGATCTGGATATTGACTACATTAAACTTTGAAATAAACATTGATTCTAGTTTCACTTAAATATAATATAAAACAATTTCAGGATAATATGAAACAGAACCTAAAGACAGAGGTTCTTTTTATATATCTGTCCTACTGAAGATAAAAATTTCTAGAATACAACTCAAATTGATTTGACTTAGTATTGAATGCATTTTTTATGTGCTACACATATGCACTCACATATATATATATAGTTGTTGTTGTTAAGTGCCATTGAGTTGATTCTGACCTATAGCGACCCTGTATAGGGTTAACAAGGAAAGCTGGTATGTTTCAACTGCCAGTTTTCAGTTAGAAGTAAGGTGCTCATTTATCTATCTATTTCTGTCATATAGTTCTATCTATATATCTATCTATCTATCAGGAGCAAGGTGGCTACATATCATAAGCACTGGGCCACCAGCCACTCTGTGGGCAAGATGAGAATTACTGTTCCCAAGAAGATTTAAAGCCTCAGAAACACTGTACAGGGTCACTGTGAGTCAGAACCGACTCAATGGCATATAACAACTTGCATACATATGTGTGTGGTGATATAGGATAAGCACTGAACTTCCAGCCACAAAGTCAATGGTTCAAACCCACCAGCTGCTCCTCAGAAAACGTATTGTCATTAAGTACCATGGAGTTGATTCCCATTCTCCAAAGGAGGGTTTGGTGTTGGGTTTTAACCACTAATGTTGTTAGCAGTCCAGTACTTAGCCTACAGTGCCGCTCCAGAGCCCACTCTCTAATATGTATGTATGTATGTATGTGTGTGTATATATATATATATATATATGGTTGTTAAGTGTTGTTTAGTTGATTGCGACTCATAGCCACCCTGTATACGGTTTCCAAGGAGCAGCTTGTGGATTTGAAACACCAACCTTGCAGCTGAAACTGATCTTGTGGTTCAGTGAATCATATACTTGTTGTTGTTGTTAAGTGCCATCTAGTTGGATTCAACTAATAATGACTCTGTATAGGGTTTCCGAAGAGCGGCTGTTGAGTTTGAACTGCTTACCTTGTTTATCTTACTGTGCCACACCATGTATGTGTGTATGTGTGTATGTGTGTGTGTGTGTGTGTGTGTGTGTATGATAAGCAACACACATGCTGTGGGTTAATACGCTGGACTGCAAAGTCGTTTGAACTGCAAGGTCAGCCATTCAAGCTCACCAACTGCTCCTCAGAAACCCTATACAGGGTTACTATGGGTCAGAACTGACTCAACGATACTTAATAACTAGATAGATAGATAGATAGATAGATAGATAGATAGAGAATAAAGCTGTTGTGTGCCCTCGAGTAGGTTCTGATATATATATGTAGTGGTGGATGTGTGTACTTGAGATGGTTCTGACTCATAGCAAACCTATATAAGGTTTCCCTAGACTGTAAATCTTTATGGAAGCAAATCATTCTACTGCTGAGCAGATGGTAGATCCCTAATGCTGACCTATGGATAACCTACTATGCTACAAGGGTTCCTTGTTGGAGTGGGTCGAATGTTTTGACTACAAAGTATACAGGATTCAATAAGGTATGAGGGTTTCTGGTTTGGGTGACAGCAGAGAAAGCCAGGAGGAGGGATTGTAAACCCAGAGAAGCTGCACTCACGGAACACCACCAGAGCTCTGGATTTAGCATAAAGTCCAGGGTGTCAGTTTTCTGCACACACAAGTGGAAAAATCACAGTATAAAGAAAAATACTCTGAGTTAGGAATCGCTCCAGATGAGACTCCTTCTGCAGCCACCCCACCCAGGCAGAGTTCAGAGGGTGGGGCTACATCCAGACTGGGACAGGGAACCAGCGCTAAAAGTGGTGCAGTGACATTTGCAAAAGGAGGTGCAGGGGATTCTACACATTTTTCCCTCCTCTTTCCTGTCGAACCTTCTTTGCCCAGCCCAGATGCCTTTAGGTGGGTGGGTGCACACACCCCCAAAAAAATCCAGCACCGACACCACAGTTTTCTTGCGGCACAGAGAGAAAGAGCTTGACAACTGTTTATGATGTCAGCCTGTGGGTCCCAGCCCTAAAGTTAACTTGTGCAGGATCCTTTACTCCAGCCTATCCAGCAAGAAAAAAAACTGGTCTGGCCTGACAGACAAACCATATGAACAATCTAAACCCCAACAGAAAAGGTTGCAACTATCACAAGAATTATATTGTGCACACACAGATACCTAACTGACTTTCACAGACAAAAAAAGTAGAGATTCTTTCTCCCATTAACTTCTCAATATCTATCTGTGCACCTCTATGGTGGTACCTAGAAGAGGGGCCTGAGCAAGCAGACAACCCCACTCACTGCTGGAGGCTCCTACGGTACATACACTGCCTGTGTCACAAGGTGACTGGCCAGTTAGCCATGGTTTTATTTTTGTTTCAAAGTGGTGGGTTTTGTCTCTGCTTTTATATTACTTTGGCTTTTGGTCCTTTTTCATGGAGGTGGGAGCTTTTTCTCCAAGAAGAGACAGCAATTGTGGCCAGATAGGCAAACTACAAGCATGCCCCATAGTAGTCCACCATTGAGACAAGAGTCAATAGCAGCTGCTAAGCATTATATGCAAAAGGGGAAGCCTATCTCATGATCATAACCACCAGAAGACACCCAGTAAGCTTACTAACTCAACAAACATCTATTTAAGCATTAAAAAACCCACAAAACTACTGTAAATGAAAACCAAAACACAAGAAAATGATCTCAAAACAGGTCCAAAAACAGAAAAGAGTAACTAAGGTAAATGAGCTGGAGACAGACAAAGGTTCCCCAGAAGAGGAAGAGCAGGTTTTAGATTTGCCTAAGATGGAATTCAGAAGAATGATACGGAAACAAATTCAAATGCTCCGAAAAGGGGTGGAGGAAAACAAGGAAGAAGTCAGGAAAGTACTACAAGAGCAATTCAAAACCTGCAAAACACAGGTCCAGATGATTAATAATAAAATATCAGAAATGGAAAATACACTGAAAAGGGAAAGCAGAAGAATAAAAGATATAGAAGCCAGAACTAGAGAGCTGGAAGACAAATCTCTCAGTACTGCTAAGATAGAAGAGCAAGCAGAGAAAAGAATTAAAAAATCTGAAGAGAGTCTAAGATTCATGCTGGATAACATGAAGAGGAACAACTTAAGAATTATTGGCATTCTGGAACAGAAAGAATCAGAGAAGTCCACAGAGGAGATAGTTGAAGAGCTTCTGGAAGAAAATTTCTCTAATGTCTTGAAAGATGAGAAGATAAACATTTAAGAAGCCAAACATATCCCAGGAAGGATAGACCCCAAAAGAAAGTCACAAAGACCTATAATAATCAAGCTAAAATCAAAGACAAGGAGAGAATTCTAAAAGAGGCCAGGGAGAAGAGAAGTGTCACTTACAAAGGCAAGCAAATAAAATTAAGCTCTGACTTCTCAGCAGAAACCATGCAGGCAAGAAGGCATTGGAGAGACATATACAAAACCCTAAAAGAAAAAAAACAAATTGCCAACAAAGAATCATCTATTCAGCAAAACTGCCAATCAAATACAATGGTACAATCAAAACATTCCAGGATAAACAGAATCTGAGAGATTTTTATCAAAACCAACCCAGCACTTTAAAACATCCTAAAGAGAATTCTGTGAACTTAAAACCAACAAGAACAGTCAACAACCAGAGATTGACAGGTGTGGCAACATCACCTGAAACTCAGTTGACAGATAGCAGAGTTCAGAACAGAACAAAACTAGGAGCTAGAAGGTCAACCAAAGATCAAAATAATATCAATGTCAAAGAAGGGATAAATGTAGGAACAGAGATCCAGGTGGTAGGAATGTCAGGTAGATTACAGGATACAATGTTGTTGTTGTTGTTGTTAAGTGCCTTCGAGTCGGAGCCGACCCATAGCAACCCTGTACAGGGTTTCCGAGGGTATAAATCCTTACGGGAGTAGAAAGCCTCATCTTTCTCCCGCGGAGCGACTGGTAGTTTCGAACCACTGACCTTAAGGTTCGCAGCCCGATTCGTAACCACTACGCTACGATTCTCTTAAATGGAGAGACAAGTTAATAGACTGTAAAGTAACCCCAAAGAAAGTTAATACTTTACAACTTAACATGAAAATGAACTTCCAAGCAGAACAAACAAACATGAAAGCTAAGAAGAAACTGACAAGAGAGCATAAAAAATACAAACTCAGCACAAGAAGGCATGCAGAAAGGAATGAACAGCACTACCAAAAAAATAATATAATGGCAGCAATTTATTCATACCTGTCAATAATTACATTGAATGTCAATGGATTGAATGCACCATTGAAAAGACAGAGAGTGCCAGATTGGATAAGAAAACAAGACCCTTCAATATGCTGCCTGCAAAAGATACACCTTACACACAAAGACAAAAACAGACGTAAAGTTAAAGGATGGAAAAAATATACAAAGCTAACTACAACAATAAACAAGCAGGAATGGTAATTCTGATCTCTGATAAAGTAAACTTTAAGACAAAAACCAGCACAAGAGATAAAGAAGGACACTATCTCATAATCAAAGGGTCAATTGAGCAAGACGACATAATCATAGTGAGGTTTGCCCAGGATAGGGC